TCACATTTTGGTATGATTATGATCCTATTTGTTCAAGGCTGTTTTGTTGTAAATGTGAAGAACAAAGCACTATAACAAATCGCCATTGGTGGCGCTCTTGCTGGGCACAACACATATGAGCAGGATCCTGTGAGGTAGAAGAAGTGTTCCCCTGTTCCTGAATAAACGTTGCCATGTGCTATCTCCAGTTATCTACTTGAATATCATTTTATTTGACCTAGTGTATCATACACAACAGAATTTTGGCGACGAGGATGGGATATTCAAGTTGGAAGGCACAGAGTCAGCAGACGGAGCGGCTCCATAGAGGCAACACGGGACGGTAGAAGCCGAACGTTTTGGTGAGTGAAAGGACCGCCAAACCCGAGCTACAAGATGGCGTTTGGAAAGCCAGAAGATTTTCACTTCGAGGAAAGTGAGGAAAGTTTTGACAACTACCGCGAACGTCTCGAGCAGTATTTTGCTGCTAACGACTTGGACACTAAAGAAGAGAAAACTAAGTCGGTGTTTCTCACGGTGGTGGGGAAAAGATCCCATAGCTTGCTGATGGATCTGTGTGCTCCGGATAAACCGTCAGAGAAAAGCTATGAAGAGCTGGTGGATTTGCTGCAGAGGCACTACGTACCAAAGACGAACTTTATTGCAGAAAGGTGCAAGTTTCATGGAAGAAACCAAAAAGACAACGAAACAATTAGTGAGTATGTGGCTAGTTTACGAAAATTAGCAGCTACGTGTAAATTTGGGGCTTTCTTAGATGAAGCACTGCGTGATAGATTCGTCTGTGGGGTAAAAAGCAGCGAGCTGAGAGATCGGCTGCTCAGCACCGCGCACACCAAAGACTTGACGCTGCCGCTGGCTGTAGAAATGGCGCTCTCCTTTGAGGTAACTAAGGACAGTGCACAGCAGTTTGCACAAAAAACTTTTAAGGCTCATGTAGTAGAAAGAAAAGCTAAAGCAAAATACCGCGAAGCTGAGAAAAATGCAGCTACCGGGAAGAGCTGTTATCGTTGTGGTGGAAAAAGTCACAACCCGAATGACTGCAGGTTTAAAGAAAGTGAGTGCCACGAGTGTAAAAAAAAAGGACACATAGCCAAAGCCTGTCGCACACGCAAAGAAGGAGGCCGTTCTAGTACGACCAAGGGAACTATGCATCTGGATGTT